AAAAAAAAAATCATCTCCCAAGGAAAACCTCCATCGCCGCCTGAACTTTTCTTCGCCGGCGAACCTCCACCATCGCCGTTCGTTTCTCCGAGCAGTCGTCTAACGTCGACGGGTTACCCGGAAAACCCGGACCCTTCATTTTGTCTTCGTTCTTGTTTGTGTTTCTGTTTTGCTATTTTGCTTTGCATCCTAGAAACTCAATGTGGCTGTTGAAAATTTGTAATTTGTCTTCGTTCTGTTTGTGTTTTGCTATTTTGCTTTTCATTGTCTTCGTTCTCCGAGGTTATGCTTTGGAAAAAGATGGTTTTTTTGTAATTTGTTCGAATAATGAGTAGAACTAGAGTGTCTTCCCTATGAAATTGGGTAGGATTTAATGAAATATACATTTTATCTGGAACCTTTATTGCCCTCGACTGATATGGCTTTCTTATTCCTGATGTTAATTGGAATTACAGAACTTGTGAAGTTTGAAAGTACTTGTTTTTTGCAATTACAATTTTTTTTTTTTAATTTGTGCAGGATTATGTGAATAACAATGGCAAAGGAAAACAAAATCGAGAGCAAACCCTCCAAAAGTGAAGACGAAGCAAGGATAACTCACTCCCAATCTCGTTGCACATCCCAATTTCAACCCCGCGAGCGAAAGATTGTACAAAAAAAACTTCAATTTCAGAAATTAGAGCCTACTAGCCGTGTAGATGACTGAAGAGAAAAAGCTAAATTCCCGATATGTGCGCGTCACCACGAAGGAGTGTAGTAAACATATAAACAAATTATACGTTAGTTATACATAATTTGTACTGTGTTTTTTTTTTTGAGTGCGGAAAGTTGTTGGTTGAACTTTGTAAATGGCATGTATAGTAGATATGTGTTGTTTATCTTATGTATAACTACATTCAATTTGGATTTTGCAGTCATTCAAAATTGTGTAGTATGTTTTTATCTCGTTTTAGTGTTGTTTATCTTATGGATAATAATCTTAGAGCACGGTCATATCATGTTTATTTGACGTATATGTATACAATATATATATACAAATTGCGAAGAACAATTTTTTTCTTTCCAATCCATTCAAAATTGTATATTTTTTCATCCCGTTTTAGGTGTTGTTTATCTTATGTATAATAATCTTAGAGCACTTTCAGATCATGTTTATCTTACGTATATATACAGTATATATATATATATACAAATCACGAAGAACTGTCAGATTATGTTTATCTAACGTATATATACAATATATATATACAAATTGCGAAGAACAATTTTTTTCTTTACAATCCATAAATTCTAGGCTTTAGATTTGTGAAAAATTGAAATATTTGAGTTTACTGTGTGTTGGT